CATTTTAAAATCCTTGAATGTAATGAAATAACACCACTCTAGATAAAAGGTTTTGGTTTCATACAGATAACTATAGATTATATCTAAATATAGGACTTTGTTTATAAAAATCAGGATTAAAGCCGATTTTCTCTTGCAGACTGTATACTTAACTGATCAATAATTTAAAGAAATCTGTCAACAGAGTTAAAATGAATAGCATTACTTCAAACTTTGGTAGTTCTATTGTTCTCACAAGCTAATTGATTTCACTTGTAAGACTGAACAAAGACGCACAGTAAACCGTGTCAGATTTGAAGATAATATTGTATGCTTATAGCATGACTTTTCCAATATACAATCATATAAAAACAGTATTGACTGATTATATCAGTTTTCTCAACAAACGATTGAATTTGATAGACTATTTTGTGTGCTGATAAGCTAAAGTTCTATAAACAATCTTAATTTTAGCTCAATAAGATTTGAAAGATTATTTTGCACTTTTAACAATGCATTTTTTAAATTATATTATAAAGCAACATATAAGGTTACATTAAAATATTCTGATATCTTAAATAACAATTGTACTTTCCTCAGTATTTCTATGACTAAACGTTAATTGACTAGGATTGTCAGTTTTCCTATCGAAGGTAGTTGTTTTCTCCGGGCACTCCGGCTTCCTCCACCAATAAAAACTGGCGCACGAAATAGCCCAAAATGTGGCACTTAAAAGTGGCGTTAAAACACCAACAATCAATCAATCTATGACTAAACATATTTTTAAAATTGTAAGACGTATAAAATGGTTTTGTTTCTGACTTTTTGACAAATTTATTAGACCAAATAAAAGTTTTTTTTGATATTCCTTGACTCCTGCATTGTCATGACAATAATTCCCAATTATAAATCATAAAACATGTGCTCCTTAGCCAAAAAGTCCCAAATTCATGAACTACACACCGTAATAAAAGACAATAACAAAAATGTATGTCATCCTCTTAACTGATTCATGGCTATAGTTTTTGTTTTCAAAAAGTGCTTGAGGTCTAATGAAAATCAACAGGATTACCTTTTCCTTTATGTTGGAATAACATCGTATTACTAACGTTTTAGTTACATGTATTGGCAGTTTTTGAAATAAAATTAGGGAAATAACCAGAGTCAATTGAATAAAACACATGTTTAAGGGAACAATGGGACGAAATAAAAACAATATAAGCTCAAACAAACTTTGTTAACATAAAAACATTTTCAATCTTTTTTCAATGGAGATTGTTAAGTTTATATAAATAACCACAAATAAGTGATTGATAAAACAATACATTTCTATTTTAAGCAAATAACGAAGTTTGAACCAAATCAAAGTTTGAGCCTAAACAAATTGGTTCTTGAATTCCTTCACAGAGACCCTGCTGCTTATATTAGTAGAATTTTGTAATCAAACTGCACAGAAATTAGAACCAGTATAAAATACTTCAGGTGATCCAGTACAAATATAGTAGGCAAATGCATAACAATGGCAATTATGCCACATTCTGTGTCATAACAATGTCAATATTCAATATCATTTTAACAAATACAATTATGTCATTCACTCATTGAAATTTAATTATGATCAGTTTTCTAATTAAAACTTACATTTCAAATGATAAATTGAACTTTTACATTTAACATCACACTCTATTACACTGTCTATAAAGAGTACCCAATGGAAAGTCATAAAATGAGCTTTCTAGACATGTGCCCTTTAAAAAGAGGTTGTTGATGGAACCACATCACTTGTTGTTTAGTTGGGCCACCCTTAAAATATTCTTTGTTTGATGTTGCCTACCCATGCCTTGTAGGGTTGGGTAGGTAGGTAGGGATTTTTTTCCCCTTGAAACGATTTGTGCCATAAATTTTTTTCAGGTAGGCTATTTAGGTGGTTAGGTAGGCAACATCAAACAATCTAAATATAATTTTTTTGCCTATCTGTAAATGCATAAATACATTTATTTACGTTCTCTGCAAAGTATTTGTGAGGTTTTTGTGTTTGTTTAATGAACATGACGAATATAAAAATGTCTTACATGTTAATGTGTTTTAAAATATGCCCTCTTCAATCATCATTGCAAAATATAAAACAGAATTATATTGTTGTTGGTTACATTTGTACATCTCTGATTTTTTTTTATGCATTTTAGAACAGTCTGACTCATTTCATTTTATCAAATTTATGATAGAAGTCAAGGAACAAACAAACCTGATTCTGTGATTCAACAGTTTATCATTATTAGAAGTACATGAAATTTCCTGCCTGCTTTATAAATGTTTATATTTAAGAACAAGTTAAGGAATGCAACATAAAAAAACAAAATGGTTAAATGATTTTTAAAGACCTAAAATTGCAAATTCCCCATGAATTGACAATGATGCTTTCAATTTCAAAATAAAAACATAAAAGAGAAATAACATTTAAGTTGATTAATAACAAAAGAATCCAGATACTCAATACTGGCTACAATGTATAAACTGCAAGTTAAAAGTTAGAAAACTTCCAAATTCATGTTTTTTAGCAAATTTTACTTGCTAGATTTACCATTTTGCAACTGAAAAATATGCCTGCTCAGTCTGCATTTGGCAGTGCTCCACATATGAAGGACAATTAAACATAGGAAAATATATTGTGGAAGATCCAGGACTGCCTATTTTATATATAAGCAGGTGCCCATTTTACGAAGATGCTTGTTAGACTAGTACTGTATACATGTAATATTATTTTGTACAATGTTTATGTTAAACATACTATTCAAAACTAAAACACAAAAACCTTTTAGTTGAGCAAGGTGAGCCAAGTCACAATACAAATATATGTATCAGTGAAAACAAATACATGTTTCTAGTAAATATTGAATCTCTGAATTCTTATTAACAAAAACAAAAATCAATTTTGACATACAATGTACAACATGTAATTATCAACTACATGTACAATGCATATATGTATGCTGTAATTGGGAACAACAGTAACTCATATTGAGGATATATGTTACAGTTGCAGCTAAATCAAAATCATGTAAATGGAACTCCAACAATTATTTCTATCCTGATTTAAAGACCTACATTGTACTTCAACAAAAAATTAAGGGAGGCTGTGGCAATTTTTTATCTAACAGACAGACAAATGACAGATACATTGTAGCTACATGTACAAAAAATAGATGCTCATAGGGATTAATGGATGGATAATCCCAACAAATATCTTTCAACTTCCTTCAAAGTGCAGGGCAAAAAAAATCAGTTTTAAAAGAGATACATTTCATCGTTTGTACAATTGTATCACACAAAGTTGTCACAAGATTCTGGCTATGTTTAAGTTTCAGTTTTACATTTTTTAACAGATTATGTCTGTGTTATATAAATACAATAAACTGCATAAATAAATAAATAAAAAAAATGTCTATTACCATGATTACAGCAAACTTAAAAGTTGTATCTATTCACAGTAAAAAGTAAAACCTGCTACTATTACTTACAAAATGTAGTTTATAGGCCTTTAGATATTAGTCCTCAAAATGAAAGTTCAATGATTATTTATAATTTCTTTTTAAGTCATACAATTATTAAATAAATGATAATAGGTACAAATGTAGTTGTAAGCAATATTCTTGCCATTACAAATGAATACAGATTTTTTTTTTCTAAAAACATAACAGTTTTTTTAAATGCTGGAGACCACAATTCCCTTTCTGGCACTAAATTATGTCACATTGTATTCTTCATGCAACATTGGTGTGCAGCTATTCCTACAGTACATGTACATCACAAAGTTATATATACAATTTTTTTTATAAATGTCACTATTACCATGATTACTGACAAAATGACTGATGATAGAAAAGCAAATAATAATGTATTCTAAATTACTTCTATTCAAAATGATACCTTCAACTAGACTAAAATTTTATTGGATGGATATCATAATCAAGGGTCCGGAAACAGTTATATTTCCCAGTCATGGCCTAAACTGAAAGGTCATTGTCTGAAATGGTAGATTGGGATTTAGGTCAAATTTTTTTTTACAGAAAGAGTTCCAATTATTTCATTGAAATAGAGTTTCTTAATCGCCATTTTGCACTTGTTTAAGTTTTAATCATTTTCCGGTAATAAAACTGACACTTTAGCAGTTTAGTATAGTATGATAATCGTGACGGCCCTCCTAATAACCTTATTTATGCCTCTAGGAAATATTGGTGTATGATTGCTAATCACTTTTTACCTGCGTTTTTAATTCAAACTGACAGTCATGACAGTGATCACAAGCTCAGAACTAATACACTAAAAAAAAACATTTCCATGACAACTTTCTTCATTATTTAATTACCTTTCAGCAAAGACATTCGTCAATTCTGATTTTAAAATTTAAAACTTGTATCAATTTATGTAGAAAAAAATCATTTTTCGTGTGTCAAACGTGTGCTTTATTTACTAGATGTACATTGTAATATGCATGCATGAAATTGTCTTCACCAGATTTGAGGTTAGACACTTAATCTTAAAATGCAATATGATTTCATGCTAAATTAAACAAGTGCAGCTATTATGATTGTGTTATATTCAAATACTTTTAAAAGTACATGTAATTAAATTATAAATCTGGTGATTTCCTGTCATTTGATAAACTGAACGAATCCTGTAAATGAATCCGGAATCACTTGTAATTTAGTATTAACGTAAAACTTCTGGTTTTTATTTCGCCAAACAGTCAATACAAGTTCCTTGATGCCATAAATCTAATGTGAATACTTTTGACAGTTTGAAAATTGTATGAAAAAATTTCCAGATCCTTGATCATAATATATATTTATTTTGGACAGAAAGTAAAACAAATACATTGTTTAATTGGTGTGCAAATATTTTCATACCAACACACATTTGTTGTTATAGTATAGCCACAAAAATAGATAAAGAATATGGCATTTTATATTGGCTTTCCTTGGGAAAGTATTAAAATATAAAAAAATTATCTACATATTTACCTTGGACTCTCACTGCCAAGTAGTTTTGCAAGACCCCATAAAAAATCCTCTGCACCAGAATGGCTAAGAAATGTTGTTATTGTAGCCTCTTTTTCCGAATGGAGATCATCAACAAAAAATTCCAAAGCTTGGTGAGATCTTTTGTCTGCATGTATTAATGCTGGGAAATAATCCTCTTTTGACCAGTTGCAAGAATTCTTCATTTTACAGATATTTACTCCTCGACTGGCCAATTTTGTCAATGACCTTTGTTACTTTATTTACATTTTAAATTTTTTATTTCAGAGTACGTTATGACTTATTCTTTAAGTTTGATAACATCACTAAAAATGGGCAATGAAAATTTCCACATGACTTACTACCCTCCATGTTGTTTACGGGTAACTACCGAATGCCTCTCGCGGGGAACAACGAGATTGTAAAAGTCGCTTATATCATTCTTTTCTGAAAAAAATACACTCCTTTCAACTGAGTACCTCAATTTTTGGAATCAAACGAATTAATTGTGGATACTTCATGTATATTTTGTGAGATTTACTGGGACACACAAATTCATGACTCATACTATTTAATTGTTTTTGTCAATGATGTAAGCTGTTGTTCTTCTTTTTTAACTTTCTAACTTGATAGTACTTGTAAGTGTTTATATCATGATATTTATTCTACTTGACATGTTTACATCATTACATTTTGATGTATGTATTTTGTAAGGTTTTCTTGATTTGTTAACCATCAATTTTTGATTAAGATACAGTCATTTATTTGACCAATGGACCTACATTTTGCTCATTTTTGTTTAGACAATGTTAAGAGATTTTTTTAAAGACAAGTCCATAGTTTTAAAAATAACTTAGTATAACTGGTATCCGGTCGTTCCGTCCCCAAACCGATCCGGCCCCAAGTCGATCCGGCCCAGGTCGATCCGTCCCTACGTCGATCCGGCCCCATAATAAAATATGAATAAACTATATTGACTTTGGAGGATTTTGTAACAAATTTTAACAGTATTTATTTAAATGGAATTTGTAAAAATGATGAATGACAACAGGTAAGTGAAGTATTGGAGTACCAGTCAAAGAATTATTTTAAATCGATACGAAAATGAGTGTGATTGTGTCTGTTTATATAGCAGCGTCAACATATTAATATGAAGTTATTTTCCATGATAACTTTGAACGTCATGGCTTTTTTTATTTTATTTAATTCACACACAGAAAAGCTTAATAAATATTTACAGTCCAATGGAGCCTATAAAATTTAACTCATCATATTGACTTGTTTTATCAAATCATTAGTCTATAATTGGTTTGTTTATGCAACAATTGTCTAATGATTGTGAACTAAGGTAATGCCACTCGTGATCACTTAATTCAATCAAATCCTGATTGATTAAAGTTACGTAATCACTGGTCTTTATAGTTTGATCTTTTGTTTGGTGTTATGTGTTATAATAATTAATTGTATTTTTTTTCAGGTAACATAAGAGGCTTCTATAACACGTTTTTTTTTGTTGTAATATCGAATATAGTCAATATATTTTTTTTAAGTTGACAATATTTTGAATAGTTGTGTGTAGATAAAAAAAACAAGTTATATGAGTATCCATTATTCTTTATTGTAAGATAATAACAAAATAATTACACTCGATGCACGTGAAGATCACATCTATTTCTTCATTTACCATGCGTCTGTATTCCAGTAGAGATACCCCTATAAAGGAATTTAAAAAAGTAAATATCTATCTTTATAATGTAAAATACAAATATATAATACAAAAAAATTGAATTTATAAGCTTTTTGCCATTTAACACCAGAAAAACACGGAAGTTAATATTCCCAGATTTAAAACAAAACTATATACTTTTTTCATATTTATGGTTTAATGATTTAATGATGAAAGCAAAGACAAAAATATTTAAGACTTATATACAAAATTACAGTTTGATTATATTAAAGGGAAACTTCGCAAAAAAATAAAAAATTGATATTATGTCCATTCTGTATAAAAAAGCACAAATTCATAAATATTAAAGTTTTATTCTGCTAGATAAGAGATCACCCTCGATTTTAAATTTAGAGTATCAATTCTCTGCGTGCGGCCATTTTGACATCTTCTCGGTTTAGAAACCCCGATATATCTATAAACCACAAAGGACCAAAACCAGCAGTAACCTAACGTAGTCGCATTTATCCGACTAACTAACTTGATACGGAAAATGTAATTATTTTTTTTAAATAACTATGGTCTGTCGTTTTAAAACTGTTTTTTCTTTACGAAGTTTTTGAAACAAGAAATTTATATGGGAATTAGTTAAAAAGTCAAAGTTCAAAGTCATAAATAAGTTTTCCGTGTAAAATCGTTTTCGAAAATCTAATTTGTTCATAATTCTTTTATGTAATAAACTTATTTAAATAAATTCGGACCTTCTCTTATCTGATCACCAGCATGGCTAAAGGAATTATTCCCTGAGGTATTGTGAGGTGACACGTCCAGGTATTCAAGCGATTTCCTGTCGGGTTTAAAAACTCTTATTACACAATTACATAAAGCATGTTCATGCATCGGTTCACTTCTGAGGGTATTGATTAGTGTACACGGCCGATAACTTGTAACTTTCCATTTTAAAACTATCAGGTGTAATATACATCTTTGTCTTGCGTGTCCGATAGTGATATACTAGTCATTACTAAACTCATACGCTTGTTTATAAATAACATTTCTAGTGTAAAGAATGATATTTATGAAAATCTAAATAATTCCAAAAAAAGATTTGATAAAATAAAAATCTATGTATATACTCGTCAATAATGATGGACATTTTGAAACATGAAAAACTATTGATTTAAAAAATACGCACTTGTCGATCATTGGTTTATACGCCTAGATAGAAAGTTACGGAACTATAGATAGTCGCAATTTAAAATTGTATATTGAATATAAGAAAGAACATCTAGAACCAATTTGATTTAAATACAGGTCGATATCTAACTTGCTTTGGTTCATCGAAGTTATGGACATAGTAAAATCACAGATTTATATTTCAATTAGATTGTTCTCGAACAGTTGAAGAAAATCGTCATCATCACAATTGTTGGGTATAATGTATATTAATGTGAACATGGTTCTAATAGAACCTTATGCCAATTTTCCTGTTCCGACATGCATGTAATATATATGCCACTGGACGTACACTAATGATCCCCAAAAGTTTATTTGAAGAAATAAAGAAACTTCACTCCGGATAGACTGATAGTAGTTGTATTAACGTCTGATCAGGTTGAGGGTTGATTAATTTATTACGTTAGCTTGTGGGGGAATAAACCATTCCCACTATTGCACTTATGCATAAAATATTCAATAAGAGTAATATAAGAGAAAATATAAATACGAAAAGTCGCATATCTGGTAAAAAAAAAAGTCTCACCAACTATAGGATTTCACGTACAATTGTCATTATGATCGAAATAACGGACAGTCATTAAAATACATGCATGTACGCTTTGATAAAAAGGGGTGCCGCAGTTGCATATAATTCATCATAAATCTATTTCAAGTTTATACTTTCCTGTTATTCTTATCAGTTAACGCAGAGACATGTAACTATACATCTCTAGTTAACGACAATCAACTATATAAATATCTGAATCTGATGAGACTTATCTCCAGTGGTTCATCTCTTTCTTTTTTTTTTATTTGGGCAGGAACATAAACATTGTTAGATATAATGTTCCCAGGTTTGATGGGGGTGGGGGGTCAAGTCTATCGAAAGTTTTTTCTGTCTCAAACCCACATTTCTCTTTTATCATTTTTTTTTAATGTTTTTCAAACCGGAAAATAATTTTTGTTCTTAATTATTCGATCTCATTCCAATAAGACAAAGTTGACCTTAAATTTCCTGTAAACTTTTTAATTATCTTTCTTCAAATGGCTGAAGTATTTATACGTTGTGAGATTTAAAATATTTTGATAAGGACATTAATTCCTGAATATGTAAATAAAGATCGCTTTGGACGGACCAAATTATATAATTGCAATTGGTAATTATCTATTTCAAATATTCAAGGTTACCGATTCTAATTTAAAATAGTACAATTTTTAGTTCATACACTCGTGTTTAGAATGCCATTATTATTTATTCAATTAAATTAATTCAGTATTTCATTGTTACAAAAATATTCAGCAGTCAGAATTCATTTTAAACTGAGCTTACGGAAAATATAAAAATGTACCACGGCTATCCAGTCATTGTGCCACCATATTACTCCCTCAAAATAATTATATTTCTTTTTTTTTTTTTCTGTCTCAAACTATCACTCCCGTTTATCATTCATACGAAATGATGTTCACACCTGGAACGGTGAACTGTGACGGCTAAAATTCACTGAGTGAAGATCAAAAGATTAGAATTACAGAATGCAAACCTTTAAATACCTTGAATTTAACCACGCATTCAAATGTTTGCTAGACTGAAGTAAAAGGTGAGAATACAAACATGCATTTTTAATACACTATCAGTTAAATATGTTTGTTGAAAATATCCGTCGGAAATAAAATTCATAAAAATATTCTATTGTATGATTTACTTTTATTACTATAATGACTATAATCATATCAGAAATCCTTAAAATATAAATCATACATTTTATTTTTAAAAGTTGCACGGCTGATCACTTTACTTTCTTAATTATTAGTTGGTTAATAGCTACGCCAAAAGTCATCGATGCGCTTTAAATCGCGTTATTAGATGATTAACGAACAAGACTTAAATGAGATTAATTCCACTCCCGGTATGCAAAAAGACTTAAACTACGTCACAGAAGTCAGGAAGTTCGAATAAATAAAATTAATAATTCCCAATTTTCTTCTTTATTAGTTTTCATATCCAGATAAAACTTGGTGAATATGTTTTTTATGGTATTATGAACATAATAAGATGATAAGTAAAAAATCGCGAATTTTCCCTTTAAAGCAAAAAGTGAAAATAGAAACTTACCGGTATTACAGAGACGGTGTTGCCACTTTGAACATTGCTCACATTGAAGTGCATGCTGCCGAGGTCTAACATGTTGGTCACATACCACACAAGGAAAAGCCATTGTGATATTAAAAGCAAACGCATTCTGTCTCCTCTTTTATAGAAAGGATTCGGCAAATAAACAACATTTCTTTTAAGAACTTAAAACAAAAAACAAAGTTTGAATGTATCAGCTGGGGATCGGCTTGAACCGTTGTGTATGTAACTATTTGTTATTACAAAGGATCACAGTCAATTGAAAGAAAATGCTAATTACTGCTGATTAATGTTGATTATAATTATACCCAATAATCTTGAAAACTTGTAATGAAAACATAATCAACATAGTTGTTTTAAACTCTTTTAAAGAAAATATTTGTCAAAGGCCAATTTTTTTTTCCGTACACCTTTTACATTATAATAAAATTCATAAACATTTATGAATTACAATTAATATATATCTTTATTTTTAATCCTCATAAATATATTTTTTTATTGGGCCGGATCGACGTTGGGCCTGATCGACGTGGGACGGATCGACTTGGGCCGGATCGACGTGGGGCCGGATCGACATGAAAGCGTATAACTTTACCAGTTTAATTAAATAATTATAAAAATGA